GAAATTTTGAATTTAAATATCTATTGCCAATTTGATGTTCATCTTCAGAATCTGGCAAGACAGATGGAAGACTAGACTGAACTGAATTCCTAAAATGCCTGAAAGTTTGTTCATGAAGAGTTGGGAGAGTGTCATGAAGAGCTAAGAGACCTATGAAAGACAGAGACAGTTTATATCTTGGTTTGGCCCCTAATGTCATTGGTAATTATCTAACCAATATAAGAAACACACATACTTTATCTTTCACACTTTTTATACGCTCATCGAAGTTGGGCCTTATTATGGTATAATTTTCATCCATTCGTACATGCGTACCCCTGTGAACTTTCTCTTGTCCACATTTATCCACTCAAGATAATCTACCAGAAGTTCATACACTTATGTTTCATCACAAGAAGGAGTGTCATGTACACTTTTTATCACCCTAGCTCCAACGTCAAGGGCACATACCAAGATCAAAGTTAAAACAAGGTCTTTGCTTGCCCTAACTTCTGATCCATCCATCTATTATCTTTACCTGCTGCTTCCTTTCTGGATTGTGGGGGTCACTGGTGCTCATATCCAGAAGTCAAAAAGCATTTAATACAAAAACAACTGGACTTTATTTGTAACAGAAGACGTTTCGCTCCTCATCCGAGGAGCTTTCTCAATTCAAAGAATTGAAAAATAAATTGAATTGAGAAAGCTCCTCGTATGAGGAGCAAAACGTCTTCTGTTACAAATAAAGTCCAGTTGTTTTTGTATTTAACGCTTTTTGAATTCATCTTGTCCTGGATGACTGAGAATCTTCACCAGCACATATCCAGAAGTCACTGTGCGAGAGGCAGGGGACACCCTGGACAGGTCACAAGTCCATCACAGGGACACATCGAAACAAATGTTACAAACAACCATTCACTCTCTCACTCACACTGACAATTTAGAGTTACCAATCAGCCTAACATGCATGTTTTTGGTCTGTGGGAGGAAACCAGAGTATCCAGAGAAAACACACACATGCACAGAGAGAACATGCAAACTCCACCCTGAAAATCCCCCAGCCAGGATTCAATCCGGCAACCTCTCATTGAGAGGCAGCAGTTCTACAAACTATGCCACTGTGCTGCACACTCAAGATCTTACCAAAGCTTATAACCAACATTTTACCCAAGAATTTACAAAACTTCCTATATATTATATCATCACGAGGAGTGTCACATACATGTTTAATCACCCAAGTTTCAAGATCAAGGTCATAATTCAAGGTAAAGTGTTATTCAAGGTCTTTGTTTATCCTGGCTATATCTATAGATTGCTGTATTGCTGTAAAATAGTTTGTCAACAGGAGTATACCAGTCATGTGTTCTATACAGTACTCTTGTTGTAAGTGGAAAAGTACAAAGTAATTAAAATGTTATCTTATGTAACCAAATACCTAAACCTTTATTCTCATCCACACAAATACTCATATATTTCAAGATCAAAGTCAAGATTTCTTTATTGTCATTCCCATCCTATGTGATACATAAGGTGGAACAAAATTGTGTACACAGGGTCCCAGTTACATCCAACAAAAGTATAAATTGTAAAGAAAAACAGTGTACTCTGTCTTACGGCTGACTTTCATTCCTCTTCTTTCAAGTGCATACCTCCACCTCTCCGTTCTTTTCCACCTGCTCCCTGTTCTCACCACTGATCACAATGTCATCTGCAAACATCATAGTCCATGGGGATTCCTGCCTGACCTCATCTGTTAGACGGTCCATCACCAGATCAAACAAGAAGCTCAGAGCCGATCCTTGATGCAATCCCACCTCCACATTGAAGCTATCTGTCACTCTTACATATCTCACCACTGTCCTGCTGTCCTCATACATTTCCTGTACCAGTCTAACATACTTCTCTGCCACTCCAGATTTCCTCATGCAATACTACACCTCCTCCCTCAACACCCTGTCATATGCTTTTTCTAAATCCACAAAGACACAATGGAGTTCTTTCTGACCCTCTCTGTACTTCTCCATCAGCATCTCAAAGCAGAGATGGCATCTGTAGTGTCATTTCTTGGCATGAAACCATAGTGCTGCTCACAAATAGTCACATCTCATTTAAGTCTTACTTCCAAAACTCATTCCAAGATCTTCATCGTGTGGCGCATCAATCTAATTCATCTGTAGTTGCTACAACTCTGTACATCATACTTTTTCTTAAAAATGGGCACAGCACACTTCTGCATTGCTCAGGCATTTTCTCACCCTCAAATATACCATTGAATATTTGAGTCAAAAACCTCACTGCCATCTCTCCAAGACATTTCCAAACCTCCACTGGTATGTCATCAGGTCCTACTGCCTTCCCCTTCTTCATTCTTTTCAGAGCTTTCCAGACGTCACCCTCACTAATCTTTTCTACTTCCCGGTCCACAGTTTCTATGACCTCTTCGCTTCTTTCTCTTACATTCATTATCTCCTCAAAGTACTCCTCCCATTTTCCTGTCACACTCTCCTCACTTGTTAGTACATTACCATTCCTATCTTTAGCAAGCCTAACCTGCAGCACAGGTTTTCCAGCCTGATCCCTCTGTTTTGTCAATCAGTACAAATCCTTCTTGTCCTCTTTAGCATATGCCTTCTGCTTTGCCTTAGCTACCTCCCTCTTTGCTCTATGTCCCATCTCCTTATATTCTTATCTCCTCTCTTCAGTCCTCTCACTGTCGTTATTTCTTCTTGGCTAACCTCTTTCTTTGAACAGCATCCTGCACTTAACTATTCCACCACCAGGATTCCTTATCATCCATTGTTTGTCCAGATGACACACCAAGTACCTTCCTACCTGGTTCTCTAATTACTGTAGCTGTAGTAGCCCAGTCATTTGGAAGCTTTTTCTTACTACCCAGAGCCTTTAACAGCTCCTCTCTGAATTCCTCACAACATTCTTCCTTCTTCAGCATCCACCATTTGGTCATTTTCTCTGATTTTACTATTTTTCTCTTCTTCACAACAACAGTCATTCTACACCCAACCATCAGATGCTGTCCGGCCATGCTCTCCCCTGCCACAACCTTAAAGTTTCCAATCTCCCTCAGGTTTCTTCTTCTACACAGAATGTAGTCAATCTGCGTACTCCTTCCTCCACTCTTATAGGTCATTCTATGTTCCTCCTCCTGTTGGAAATAGGTGTTGACTACAGCCATTTTCATTCTCTTGGCAAAATCCACCACCATATGTCCTTCGTGGTTTCTTTCCTTGACTCCAAACCTACCCATCACTTCCTCATCCCCTCAATTTCTTCACCAACATGTCCATTCAGGTCTGCTTCGATCACCACTCTTCCCTCCCTGGGAATGCTCTCTATTACTTCATTAAGATCTTTCCAAAATGTATCTTTCTCCTCCCCATTACATCCAACATATGGAGCATAACCACTGACAATGTTTAGCATCAGACCTTCTACTTCTACCTTCAGAAACATCACCGTATCCGACACTCTTTTCACCTCTACTACATTCTTGGCCAACTCTTCCTTCAGGATCACCCCTACTCCATTTTTCTTTCTATCCACACCATGGTAAAACAGTTTGAACCCTGCTCCAATGGTGTGAGCCTTGCTGCCCTTCCACTTGACTTATTGGACACATAAAACATCTCCCTTCCTTCTCTGCATCATATCAGCCAGCTCTCTACCTTTTCCTGTCATTGTTTCCCCATTTAGAGTTGCAACCCTTAGTCCTACATTCTTGACTTTCCTCATCTTCCTCTGTCTCCTGACATGTTTCCCTCCTTGTGGTCTTCGACTAACAGTAGCACAATTTCTGCTGACACCCTGTTTGTCAACAGCACCAGTGACAGTCGTTGTTAACCCGGGCCTAGACCGATACGGTATGGTTTTGCTTCGATGAGCTTGCATTATGGTTTTGGCAAAAGTGTTTTACATGGGATGCCCTTCCTGACACAACCCTCACCATTTACCCGGGCTTGGGACTGGCACAAGAGATACACTGGTTTGTGCTCCCTAGTGGCTGGTTTCATGCAAGTGATTCACATTTTGATTAATTAGTGTCTCCCCTTTAAATGTTGAGCTCTCCTGTTTCTCAGTAGGGGAGCATTATATGTAATGCTTACACTGGTCTCATTCATTTCAAGTGTCCATGCCTCCAGAGTTATTCCTGCGTTTCATAAGTAGAGTCGCTGCCCTATTATCTCTTTTTATAAATAAATCATTTTTGTTTATTGATTGGAGTCCTGCTTGCACTTTGGGTTTCGCAAACAACCAAATGTTACAGTGAAATTTTTAAATCGGTGGTGTGAAGAATTACCAAAAAGTTAATCATTTGTAGGTGTACATCCCACAATTACTTTCTAAGAATTTCCTTAATATGATTTAATGGTCCTTGAGCTATTTTGGTACCAAACACACCCACATGGGCACAGCAGTAGGCCTTAATGACAGGATGATTGTCATTATGTATGAACTCATGACGAAGGAATCTACAACCACTTCTTGCTTCTCCTGTGGTGTCAGCAACACATTACTGTTCTGAAAGTACACTAATTTTCAGGATGCAAAAAACAATAAAATCCAGTTCAATACAGTTAGATAAAGTCAATTTGTAAATATGAATAATGGAGAAAAAAATGTCCAAGGGAAACAATAAATTGTAACAATACAATCTCTTGTTTTGATGGTGGGTGACTGTGCATGATCTCTAGAAGAAAGAAAAAAAAATATTTAAAACATGAAGACATCTCCTGCAGAAGCACACTCAAAACAGGCAGCCATCTGCCCTGATCAGCTGGGAGTGTGTGTGTGAGTGTGTGTGTGTGTGTGTGTGT